CTAGAAGAAACCATCCTGAGTGATGTAACCAGTCACAAAAAGACAAACATGGTATGTACTCACTCATATATGGATTTTAGACATGGGTCAGGATAGTGTCAGTCTGCAATTCCACTGAAAGAGAGTCTGGGAAACAGGAAAGTACCTAAGAGAGATATGCATGTTACCCCAGAGAAGAGGAATAAGGCAAGATCTCCTGAACAGATTGGGAACACGGTGGGAGGTTAGGGGGAGTGGGAGCTGGGAAGAAGAGAGGGGAAGAAGAGAAGGAGAAAGTAGTTCATGGCGGAACAGGAAGGTTGAATGTGGGGTAGAATAGGGGGAGAACAGGATGAGAAATACCATAATAGAAGGAGTCATAGGTTTGAAGAGAGATCTGGTACTAGTGAGACCTCTTGTGATCTAAAAGGATGACACCAACTGGCAAGCTAAGCAGTAGTGGAGAGACCACCGTAAATGCCCATTCCTGATAATGAACTTGATGACTACCCTTTATGCCATCCTAGAACCTTCATCCAGTGACTGATGGAAGCAGAGGCAAACACCCACAGTTAAACCTGAACTGAACCCATGGAATCCAGTGACAGAGAGAGAGGAGCGATGAGCAAATTGGCAAAAAATGGGCTGGCAAAACCAGCAGAGACAGCTGATCTGAACAGGGGGGGAGCTCTTAGACCCCAGATAGACAGCTGGGAGGCCAGCATGGTACTGATTCAGACCCCCTGAGTGTGAGAGTCAGTGAGGAGGCCTGGGCAACCTATGGGGCCCTGGGCAGTAGATCAGTGTTTATCCCTGGCATACAAATGGACTTCGTGTGCCCATAACACAAAGAGGGATGCTCTCTCAGCCTGGACTCTTAGGGGAGTGCCTGGACCCTGCCCTAAGCTAAATGGCAGACTCTGGATAGCCCCTAGGTCGAAGGAAGTGGGGCTAGGGTGGGAGACTGGGGGGGATGGTGGGAGGGTGCGGGAGGAGGGGATGGAGAGGGAACTGGGATTGACATGTGAAGCAAGCTATTTAAAATTAAAGTAATAAAAAATCTTTGGGGGCTCCAACAAAATATTCCAAGTTAATATTATTCAAATTGTACTTTGAATAATCTAACTTAACCCCCATGAGCCATTTAAACAGCTTCAGAAGGGATAGAGGGCAAGCTATTGGGTTTCTTTGACTGAGAAGACATAAAAGACATCCTTCCCCCAAGAATTCTGTGGCCTACACATGCGAGGTATATTATGCTAATCTGTGGTGTTTGAACTGAGGTCTATCTGTATGGATGTAGCAGTTTTTTTTTCTGTTAATAAATGTTTGCATTAGGAATGTGGAAGAGAGATAGTAAAGTAGGTACCATTTTAAATATTTCATAAGGAAAGTGTGATGGTTAGTACTGATGATCAAATTGACAGCATCTGGAGTTACCTAGGAGATAAATGTATATCTGAGAGAGTTTCCATATTTGGCTAAGTGAGGTGGGAAGATCTACTCTGAACATGGGCAGCATCATGCTCTGGGCCAAATTAAATAAAAGGAAAGCGCAAGATAGGCACCAGCATTCATCTTTCCACGTGTACTGGATGGTTTTGGGTGTCAACTTGACACAAGTCAGAGTCATCAAAGGAACCAGTCTCAGCTGAGGAAATGCCTCCATGAGATCCAGCTGTAAAGCATTTTCTCATTTAGTGATCAATGGGGGAGGACCCAGCCCATTGTGGGTGGTGCCATCACTGTGCCTCTGGTCCTGGGTTCTCTGAAAAGGTAGGCTAAGCAAGCCATGGGAAGCAAGCCAGTAAGTAGCACCCTTCCAGACTTTCAAGGAAGAGTTAACACCAATACTCCTCAAATTTTCCACGAAATAGAAACAGCTCATTTCTATGTTGGTTCATTCTATGTTCATAAAACATAGTCTAGTTTGTTTTATGAAGCCACAATTACCCTAATACCCAAATCACATAAAGACCCAACAAAGAAATAAAATTACAGACCAATTTCCCTGAAGAACATCAATGCAAAAATTCTCAATAAATGCTTGCAAACTTAATCCAAGAACACATCAGAAAGACCATCCACTATGACCAAGTAGTCTTCATCCCAGAGGTGAAGGGATGGTTCAATATATGAAAATAATTCAATGTAATTCGCCATATAAACAAACTGAAAGGAAAACACACACACAAGATCATCTCACTAGATGCAGAAAAGACCTTAGACAAAATCCAACACCCCTTCATGATAAAAGTACTGGATTGTTAAAGGTCTACTCCTTGAAATGAAATGCATACCTAATATTGTAAATGAAGCTAAGAACCTGAGACTAGATAGATCATGGGCCCTAGGGGGAAACTTGCTACTATTTTTCTGTACCTTCATCAGAGCAGCTTCTTGTAGTAGACGGCAGTTAACACAAAGATCCACAATGGAACAACATGCAGAGAGTGAGAGACTTTGAAGTACTCAGGTCTGAATGAGATGTCTTTATCACATCCCTCTCCTCAAGGCTTAGGGATCAATGTAGAAGAGACATGTCACATTGTTGTACGCCTTCTTTTTACTTTGATCTGTTCCCAAATATCCATTAAAACCTTTTTTGTGTGCCCCAAGGACAGAGCATTGGGTTATAAGTTGGAACAAACACTGACACGGATTTGTACTTTCAAAGCACAAACCAGAGGCATGGTTTTCCTTTTTTAGAAAGAGAAAAAGCATGGGTTTTCAGGGAGCAGGGAGGATGGGGGTTGGGAAACAATGTAATGAAAATATACAGCATGAAATTCTCAAGAAATAAAAAAAACATGTAAGTAAAACTACATGGAAGATTTTATCATCCATAAATTTTATTTCAAATATTTGCTTTTATTTTTAGCTGTGTGTCTGTATTGATGTATGTACACATGTGTGTAGGTGCCTGTGAAGGTAACAAGAAGAAATCAGATCCCTTGGAGCTGGAATTATACTTGATTGTGAACCGTCTGATTTTGGTGCTGGGACTCTAACCTCTAACTCTGTGAGAGCAGTACACATTCATGACTATTAATCAACATCTCCAGCACTATTTTAAAAACAAAACTTAGTTTTGAAAGGCTTATGTGTGACTTCACGTTCCCACTTCCCTTTCTCTCCTTCAGCATACCCCCATGAAGATTCTACCTCTACTGCTATCCTCTCCACTTTTTATTCCTACAATGTATCCTCCACGAGCAGCCAAAGAAACACTTTTAAATGAATTAGGTTGCATCGCCCATTTTCTAGAGCCCAGTGGCTTCTTCTCACCCTTGGAATAAAATCAGAAAAGCCTATCATGGTCTCTGCCTCATCAGAACAGTCAGCAAAGTTCACCTCACACATGTAGCAAAAAGATTTAAAGATCTGATGCTGGGGATCAAATTCAGGAGATTTAAAAATGTGGTGCTGGAGATAAAATTCAGAACCTTGCATATGTTGGACAAACATCTCTGAATCTTACCCGCATTCCCCATGCTATGAAGATGAAACATCCACCTTATACTAACGGCCATAGATAGAATGTAGAAAGCACTATGTAAATTAGTGTTTGCTCATTGCTCCATTTTTTGCAAAGTTCAGAACCAGACTAAATTAAATCACAGCCTCCTAACACATGTGTAGGTCATAAATCTGTCAAAAAAAAAGATACAAAAGCAAGTAAGTCAGCAAGCAAGGCTTGGTGTGGGGGGTGGGGAGAAGGGGTGGGAAGCCCCTGAGGGAGGCTCTGTGGTGGAGGAGGTTGCAATCAGTGGGGAATCACAGGCCTTCTGGATAATGGCAATACTCCATTTATTAACAGGGAGATGGCTTGTATTGTTCTTCTCCATAGTTTAATGCGTTTTTAAAAACATCCATTTGTTTTACTCAGTTGTAAATAAAACTTATTAAACACACATAAAAAATAAAAATTAAAAAAATTACTGTTTACTCAATAGCATGTTTCAGCATAAACATTTGTTCGTTACATCCGATCCCCAGGATTCTGCTGCTGTTAAGACAGCATGGCCCCTCTTATCTCCTTCCTCTCCTTTGTCACCCTGGTCTCTGCTCTAACCTTTCTCCATCTTCTTCTCTCGTTTCCTTTCCCATGAGGAAGTTATTAACTTTGAATAGGGCGGTAGGAAAATCAGCATGCAGGAACGCCTCGTGTGCTTCCTGCCTTTCTCTTGTCCCATCCCATCTTGAGAGTGAAGAGGAATTAATTATAAGTAAAATAATGAGGCAGCTGGAACCCTGGTCATAGAGCTCAGCTATTGGCATCTCAGTCTATAAAGCCAGATCCAACCAAAACTTGGCCCAGTCCACATTTAAAATTCAACTTGGGTCTAGGCGTGTGACTCCTGGTAGAGTACAGACCTAGAATTTGTGGGGCCCAGGGTTCAATTTAACACACACACACACACACACACACACACACACACACACACATTCACACACCCATACACAAGTTCACACACACACACACACACACACACACATACACTGCTCACTTCAACTTGATGTGGTTTATATCAAAAGCAGCCCTTCCCTGAAGACCTTGACAAATAGAAAATAACCCTGCAATCCCCAAAACTGAACAATTTTTCTTTGAATGATGGAACTATAATAATGGTTTTCATGACAGTTTTAAGCAGAAAAGAACTGGCAAAACATGAAGACTTGGGGTTTCTTTTTTATCTTGGCCCAAGCCCCACAATGTGCCCGTGAGTACACAGGTCCCTTTGCCCCATTATTTGTCTTATGAAATGTGAATGATAGGGCTATTTTCCTATTCTCAATGAGATTAATGAGTAAAATGTTCACAAGATGGAGGTCTTAAGAGGCTTGCTTGCAACTTTAAAACAATTTCTTCTAGAACAATTTCCTGAAAATTCCAACTTATTAACTCCTTCCTTGAAAAATTAAATGCAATTCTAAAATGACATTTAAAAAGAAAAATGGATTACAACTCCACAATCTGCTGTAGTCATTGTCAGGAAGATTCATCTATCTAGACTCAGGAATATTGCCTTCGTCAGATCCTTTCCTTTGGCTTCTTTAACTCTGTGTTACCAGAAGTATGCAGCACATTTCAAGTGACATTTACTCAAGGTTATGACAACAAGTAGCTGTCTCCTGGTGATGCATATGTTCCGGCCTTTCCCCATCCAAGAATCATTCGCTTGCTCTTCTTCAGAACTCACGGGTCATTTGCTTCCTCTTCTTCAAAGCTCGTTCCTTCTCAACCATCTTGGCTGGAAAGATCCCACTTCAGAGCTGAAGGTAAGTACATTTTGTACAAATTTCTCATCTTCATAAGCGCTTTGGACCATGAATAAAATAGCTGGGAACATATCTAAGAAAAAGTTGCATCACAATGCTTCCAGTTCCTCTTAACCATGGCATTTCACCCTTCTTAAGGAACAGTCTTATTTTTAATTAAAATATGACAATAACATCTATTACTTCTTCATCTAACTGAAACTCTCTTCCCTACTAATGAATTCTTTAGCTCTTCTGTTAGTTTTTAAATTATTACGAAACTCCACTCAAGAATTGCAGCACAGTTTTGCTAATGGAACTGGGGTTGAAAATAAAATCATTCCCTTTCGCCTCATCCTGAATCATCCTTTTATCTGGCGAAACTTCCTGTGTTTAAAAACAGGAGAGTTTTTCAGCGGTAAGACAAGGGGAGTTGGCACATGATGGCTCCCTGCCACTCTGAGCAACTCTACCACTGACACACACATATGACCATGGGGCTCGGTGACAATGCACACCTCCTCTGCTTTTCAGTAGTTCTCTCACTGGGGGCAGCAACTTGGGGCATAGAATGAGTAAGAGTTAAGTATATCCGTTGCCACGTGTTCCCCGAAGTGATAATACCTCAGAACATGCATACACTCACGGCTTTGGCTGTCTTGTAATGTGCGAAGTCCAAAAGGGCTGAGAATGGAAAGGGGTACACAGAGGTGCTGAGAGTGAGGCCTTCAGTCAGACTGCAAAGAAGGGGTGTCCTCTGCACTCCCGGGAAGAGTGAAGGGTTTCTGCTCGCTCGCTCCTTCATGCATTGAGCAACACTGTTACACTGTTTACTAAATTCCTATGCACTGTCCTAGCTGCAAGTTAAAGTCCCAGTGGGGCCCCCGGAGCCCCCAGAACAAGAGCATGTTGCTGAAATGAAACCTTATACCAGTTCCTGCAAAGAAACAAATCTGCAAAGTTGCAGAGAGCCACTAGCCTTTATGGCGGGACCCCCCCTCAGGTCAGGGGCAGGACAAGGGAGGACAGAAACTGGGTGAGTAGCTTCAAAAGACAATTGCTTCTCGGTTGCTTCTGCATCTCTCCTATCAGAGAAAGAGTTTTGCTTCTCGTGCCCTTATAGCAACTTAAGACGGCTTTTCCTATTTTCTTTTTTTAAGAACTCATGAAAACCTCTCACTAATATCTCTAAGCCTGTTTTACATTGAAATTTAATTTAACTAACTTTTAGTGGCATCTTTCTAAGCAGTGTCACTTAGCATTCCTTTCTTTGCTCCGAGCTTTTTGCTTTGGACTGACTGGGCTTAAGACTAGCAGGGCAGTTCTTATTAACGGGAATGCTTGGTGGAGCTGGCAATTTGCAGGAATCTGAGCTCCTGCCTGAAAGTAGCTGAAGGTCTCTATGCCCAGAAATCTCTCCCCAGAGAGGCACAGAAGTGAGACTCCCTGCAAGCCAGAGAGACCTAAGGACCTGTAGGGATGTGGGTGGCGAACAATGATGACCAGTTGCAGGGGCATCTTTTGTCCTGGTTGTGAGGATCCAGGTTATTCAGATTTAGAAGATGCGTTTTAAAATAAGTGCTAGCAGCAGGTGAATGAAAAGGAATCCAACATGGTGGGATAAAGAACATATGAGAACAATTAAGACTTAACTGTACTATGCAAGTGGCAGAGCAAACAGATAAATGTCTATGAAGCCTCTAAACCCAGCAGGAAGGAAGTGAAGTGCTTGACACTGGTCAGGAAAGCAAGATTGGCTGCCAGTGGGGGAGAGTCTAGCTGGTCAAGGTTAAGGTTATCTGAGGCAGAAAGGGTTACTGCAGTGGTCTAGCTGGCCAAGGTTAAGGGTTACTGTAATGGTTCTCCTCCCAGGAGAAGCTCCTCAGACCCCAGAAGTACCCGAGCTCTTTGTCTGTCTATCAGTAGAAAGGGGAAGCTTGGCTGACCAGACACTCTCATCTGTCTCTCCAGACTCGTTTCCAAGGTCTTGCTGCTCGCTAAGCTGCCATGCTCTGCCTAGTGTTGTCAAATGTTCAAACTTTCATTCCTCTGACTGTGCAGAAAGAGGCTCTCTCTAAAGCCTGTGGTGGGAACTCACCCCAGAGGTCAGAGAGTGTGCAGCCATCCCTGGGGATTATAAGAAGTTTTTCCCGCAATCCAGGGAGTGTGGACTTCAGTTGGTGCTGGGAATCCTGAACCCAGCAAAGGGAATAGTAAGCCTGCTAGCATGACGCCCTTCTACTTACTTTAATAGTCTTCATTAATACCATCCACAAGTCTTACTTGGCATGATGGCACACACCTATGGTCCTAGCACTGAGGAAACCAAGGTAGGAGAGCCAAATTGCAGGTGGAATTGGGCCACATATCAGAACCCTGTCCCAAAACAAAACAACAACAAAATCCCATTACGGTGTGACATTTCACTACTTCAAGATTTATGGATGAAAGCTACATTCAGTCATACTGGGTAGTTCTGAAGAGAGAGAGCAGAAATAGACCCACACAAATAAATGTAGCCAGTAAGAAATTCAGTAAAAAAAAAAACTGACTTTTCAACAATTAGTGCTGGAACAAATAATTCAGATGGGAAAGAAATAGACCTAGATACTGACCTTTCACCCTACACACACACACACACACACACACACACACACACACGCACGCACACGCACACACACACGCACACACACACACAATAATTCTAAATAAGCTGTAAATTGTAAACCCAAGTATTAGTATTTAGGTATTTGTACCAGCCTGTCCTTGGGGTTCTGACAGGATACACTCAGCTGCAGCCACCATGAGCACCACCTGTAATCATTCACTATGTTCCCTTTTAAAAGAGCCCTGCCCACCTCCCGTTCTGTTCTCTCTCTTTCACTCCCCATCTCCTGGGGCTCCTGTCCCTGGAGACTGGCCTCCCGCCCCCTTTCCCCTTTTACCATTCTTTTCCCTTAATAAAAAGCCCCTCCACTTGAACTCTGTCACACGGCATCTTTCTCTCTCTCAAACCACTTTTTCTATTAAAACACTAAGTATAAAACTATTCAATACTAGAAGAAAGTATAAGAGAAAAATCTACACAACATGGGATTTGGTGCTTCCCTGTATTGTTATACCAAGATAAACATTCATAAAAGAAAATCAGGTGAGTTGGGTTTAGGAAATTCAAATGGAAGCCTGGGGAGATAGCTCAGAGACCGAAGTGCTTGCGGCACAAGTAGGAGGACCTAAGTTCAGTCATCAACACCTACATAAAACAGAGTGGCACATGCCTGTAATCACAGGGCTATCTTATAGTGGGATTCTTGGGACTTACTGGCCAGCCAGCCTAGCCTAATCTGCAACCAAGGATCCCAACAAGAGACTCTCTCATAACACAAGGTAGACAGCTCCTTAGGAATGAATGGAGGTTAATATTTAGTCTCCCCATGCATAAACACACACACACACACACACACACACACACACACCAATTAAATGATACCCCATTAGCAATAAACACACTTAGAATTTGGATCTAGCTTCCTCACATTCATCGACAATGAAAGAAACCAGCAATTCCAGAAGTTACTAGAGGTGTGACAAGAAGTGGTACTGTGAATCTGGAGTATCTTGGAGTGCTGAATAAATGTTCCAAAACCCCACAATGATGAGGATGTGGCAAAAGAACAAATATGCCAACTAAAAGAGTGTTCAGTAGCAAAAGTTGAGAAACTTTAAGCAACAAAATAAGTAAAGTCATTTTGCATCATAACTTAAAATATAAATAGTCACCCATCCAAAGTAATGAACAAGTGATTGGAGGACTATAGAATTAAGATATAATAGACAAATCTCTCACATAGAAGCATTCCCAATAAGTTATGTAGATTGTTGTCTCACTTTTCCTGGGACTGTGACAAAATACCATGACTAAAGAAGCTCAAGGGGGGATGGGTTTATTCTGACTCACAGTTCAAGATCAAGTCCATTCTGGCAGCCAAGTCAAGGCAGGTGGAGCTTGAAGCAGCTAGTCACATTACAGTCAAGAAACAGAGCACGCATGCTCTCTAGTGCTCAGCTCTCTATACTTTATGTTGTACATGATCTTCTGCAGAAGGATAGTCCTTCCCACAGTAAAGATGGGTCTTCCCATACCAATTAATGTGATCATGATAATCTACAGGTTATTCTAACCTTAACCAGCACAATCCTCTACCCTCAAGTAGGTATAGCATTATGGTCCATCTCTGTGATATGAACTATGCCCAGTGACTTCCTTCTAAAGATTACCTCCTAGAAATGCCAAAGAGGAAAATAAGTACACAGTGGGAAGTCAGAAAACCCTATCATATCTAGGCCTATGTCAACACTGAAGAGTCATGTTGATGATATGTCCTTTGATATAACATGAAGAAAATGATGCCTTCCCTCTTGTGGGCTTGCTTCCTTCTCAAAACCATAACCTTAGTCCAATTACTAGAAAAACATTACACAAAAAACAAGTTTGACAAATTCTATATAACATTTTATTAATAATTCATAAAATTATCAAGATGATTTTAAAAAGAAGTCTTGGAAATTTTCACAGCCAGCAGGATCCTGATCAACATGGCCAGGAAAGGCAAAATATTATACTAGATGAGCAATTCCAGGACAGAAATTTGCAAACCACTAAGGAAATGTAAAACTTACGCTTTAAGTTAATAATACTGTTATTCTATTGGCCTGTTAACTGTGAAAAGTGGATCACAGTAACTGAAGATGATAATAACTAGAAACTGGATATGGGCATATATGAGAACTCAGTAACATTCATAACTTTCCATTAAACTCAAAATTTTTCTGAAATAAAATGTTATAAAAACTCATAAATCTTCCAATCAACACTAATATCATTATTTTTTTCAGTATTAAGGCTCAAATACACAGCCTCATATATGCCAGGCAATTACTTGACAAGCGAGCTATATATACTCTAACACACCACTGTAGTCAGAATTTCTGTCCCACCTGGTCCGGCAACCATTTAGCACCAAATAAACACACTGACATTTACATTAATTATGAACTGTTTGTCCAATGGTTCAGGTTTCTTACTGGCTAGCTCTCTCTTAATTATCAAACCATTTCTATTGAACTGTGTCTCTCCATCTGGTTTTGGCTTACCAGAGAATGCTCCAGCAGGTTACTCTTTCATTGACTATATGGCATATCTCCAGCGGCTTCTCTCCCTTTCCTCTACCCAGAGTTCTCTCCTCATAGCCCCACTTATACTTCCTGACTGGCTACTGGCCAATCAATATTTTATTCATCAACCAATAAGAGAAGCATATATACAGAAGGACATCCCCCAATACACCACTAAGATTTATTGTACATATTCTATGAATTTTACAAAATATAGATATTTACAGTTTTCTTCACTATCAGTGAAGGATCCAGACCTCTAATGGATGCCAAAATCCAAAGATGTTCAAGTCTTGAAGTAATGGCCTAATATTTTCCTATAATGTATACACAGCCTCCTATATGCTTTATATTGTCTCGATTAATTCTAATACCTAATACAATGAAAGAGTTATGTCAGTAGTTTTTATACTATGTTGTTTAGGGAGTAGAAACAAGGAAACATGTTTACATGTTTAGCACAATTGTGACTGTTTTGAATATTTTCAATCCTTAGCATATATGGTATCTGTAAATACCAAGGACTAAGTGTGTGTGTGTGTGTGTGTGTCATATACATTCTCTGTACCACTGAACTGTGATTTTAATCATATCTATCTAATATGGAAGAATTTATTTAATATATCATTGATTACAAATTACTAGTGTTTTAGTTTTACATTATTATAAAATAATTAAATGAACATTAAGTACAAACATTTTTAGAACATCATTAATTATTTGTTTAAGAACCTTGAGTCACAAGTCTCAAGTTTTAAGTCTTGAAGATAGGCAGTATAATGATAAACCTGTGTCTGTTGCTTTCTGTTGACTTCTTGCTCTAGACTTTTAGTGGTAACAAATTTTCTACTTAGGAGGTTAGAAGTAATATATTTTTAAAGCTTTTATACTTTTTAAAAAATGATATACAATGTCTTTTACTGATTGGAACACTGGCATATTTCATAGATATCATGTTTTAAAGTGTATTTCATGTAACTCTTGAACTCACTATGTTACCCAAATTTTTTATTGATTCTCCTACTTCCATCTCCAAGTGCTCATCGATGGTGTTGTTTTAAGACAGGACTTCATGATGCCAGGCTAGCCTCAAACTCACTGTGTAACTGAAGGTGGACTTGAACTTCAAATCCTCCTACCTCCATCTCCAACTGCTAAGATTACAGGTGTGCGTTACCAAGCCCAGTTTAGGTGGAATTAGAGAGAGAAATCACCACTTTGAGCATGCTAAGCAAAGGCTTTACTAACTGGGCTACATTATTGCCTTGTATCCCAGTTATTTTAAAAATAAAATTTTATTCTGGAAACAGAGGAACTCATGAAGAATAATTGCTTTTCAAAGAGTATCGTTTGTACATTTTGTTAATTGTGCAAAGTGCAAGTTTAATCTTTATGTTGTCTCTAAAGGTAGATTCTTCGTAATAGTTTTTATGCACAGATAGCAATTACAAATGTTTATGGGGAACAATGTGATGATTTGATACATGCAATACATTGTATGAAGTGCTCAAGCTTTGAGTAATTAGCATGTATATCAACTTAAATATTTATGATTTCTTTGGGGTAAGAGCATTCCAAATCGATTGCAAGATTACACAGCCGGGAAGCTACAAGTGGGTTTGCAGGGTTACATGGTTGCAGGATTGCGTGGTGGGGAAGCTGCAGAGTGAGTGGGAAGGGAGGGCACAACAATCAGAGGTGACAAGCCCAGGTTCTGTGACAAAAATCCTGAAACACCTGAACGGAGTGTGTCAAGATACAGGAATTTTCCAGATGTTCCAGTGGAGGAAGACCCCCAATTATTTCCAAAAACACATTTGCTCTTAGGACCTCTTGTGTCCCCAGATCTCCAAATGCCTTCAGGACTCCCAGTGAACCTAGGTTTACCCATGTCCCTCAGATCCACCTTGTCTCCCAGTTCAGGCTCCCCAAGTTCCCCTCAAGGTTCCAAGCAAGGAGCAGAGTTAACACACCATGTTCATCAAGAAACAAGGTGTGCACCAGGTTCATCAAGGAACAAGGGGTGAGCTAGAAGCCTATCTCAGATTCTGCAACTTTCCCACATGTAAGCAATGTGTAAAACTGAGGCAAAGGACTGACTTGAAGGAGTACCAAATCTAGGTATGGCTTAAGAACTGGAGAGCTAGATACTCTCAGGAGCATCCCTGGGGACACCTAGAAATGTTGAGAAAGCAAGAAGCCAGCTGTCAGAGCAGCAGAACAAATGTTCATGTCCCTGTCAATGCTCCTGTCTCTGGTGCTCCTGTGTGTCCAGGCTTATCAGATGTTAGCTCTCTCCCTCAACCCAGCTCCTCTAGAATCTCCCCAGACCTTCCCCAATCTTGATGGGACCTAGAGAAGTTCTGGGTGTGGTGCTGATTGCACAAGCCCATGCTTCAGCAACCACTGGCCCATTTTCATCAAGAAAAGCCACAGACCCAATTCAATCTATACCATTTGATGGCACAACAGACCCAGTACCAGCCAAAACCCCATTACCCCCTACCCTGTTATAGATCCAGCAGCATCTCAAGCTCCCACCAAAACTGCAGTTTGCATCCACAACCGCAGCTGTCCATTGAGATGAAAGTTTTTTTTAAACTATATATACATATAACATTGGAAATTTTTCTTCTGGCTCTTTTGAAATGCACTATTGACAATAATAATACGGATACATAGTCGCCTTACCTTACAATAAAACACTAGAATATGGTTCTCTATTTAACTGTAACCTGTGACAGACCCCCTTGACCAAGCAGTCTTCATGTTCTTTGCTAAACCACTGTTCTACTACCAACTTCTCTGAGCTCAATCTCTGATGTAGATTCTACATGGGAGTGATTGCAAATGTATTTATAAAATTTTAATTGTGTCTTTGTGTGCTTTGGATACCAGAGTAATTGTAGTCTTGTAAGAAGAGTTTGGCAATGACCCTTCTGCTTCTACTGTGTGGAACAATTTGAGGAGCATTGATATTAGCTGTTCTTTGAATTTCTGGTAGAATTCTGCACTGAAACCAACCATCTGGCCCTGGGCATTTTTTTTTGGTTGGGAGACTTTTGATGACTGTTTATATTTCATTAGGGGTTATAGATCTATGTAAATTGCTTATCTGTTCTTGATTTAATTTTGGCAAGTGATATCTATCCAGAAAATTGTCCAATTGTTGATTTCATTTAAATTTTCTAGTTTTGCGGAGTTCAGGTTTTTGAAGTATGACCTGATGATTCTCTGGATTTCCTCAGTGTCCATTGTTATTTCCTCCTTTTCGTTTCTGATTTTGTTAATCTGCATGTTTTCTCTCTGCCTTTTTGATTAGTTTGGATAAAGGTTTGTCTATCTTCTTTATTGTCTCAAAGAACCAACTATTTGTTTTGTTGATTCTTTGTATTGTTTTCTTTGTTTCTACTTCATTGTTTTTTCCCCCTCAGTTTAATTATTTCCTGGCCTCTACTCCTCAGGGGTATGTTTGGTTTTCTTTTGTTGTTGTTGTTGTTCTAGAGCTTTCAGGTGTGCTGTCAATTCTCTAGTGTGACTATTCTCCAGTTTCTTCATGTGGGCACTTAGTGCTATGAACTTTCCTCTTAGCACTGCTTTCAGTATGTCCCATAAGTTTGGGTATGTTGTGTCTTCATTTTCATAGAATTCTAGGAAGTCTTTAATTTCTTTATTTCTTCCTTGATCTGTCCTTGGAAAGATTCAAGAGAGCCTGAAAAGCACACACTCTAGCTTTGGGGGACAGCTAGAAGCATTATGAAAATTATTAGGTATCTCCAGGGAAGATAATCACCCCAAGAGGTCCTTGCTTGTTTTCTGCTTCTTTGTCTTCAGGTCTTGCTTTTGCTTTGAGACATTCTCTTTCTGCTGCTCAGACTGGGGTTGAAATCCTAAGTTCAAGTGATCTTTCCACTCTCACTTCCTGAGTAGTTGGAACACCACTAATCCCATCCAGGTCCTAAGGACTTTTGAAATGGAAGTAATAACATATACTCTGTGGTCAACTTTTGGAACAGCTCATTAACCCCTTCATTATTGTCCCACAGACTATACAGTCAGGCTGTAGCCCAGAAAGATAACGGAATGAAAAAGAAAGGATCGGCAAGGTCACTTCATGACCTTTAAGTTGGAGATGTTCATGCGTTTTCCTCTTTCTCCACGTCTCTCCTTCCTTTCATTCTTCTCTCATCCAAGGGTTTGCTGGCATTCATTGTAATCTATCTTACACAACTACATTCATTAGCATGAAGGGGAATGGAGAGAGAAAGGATGATTTTTCATTATCTAGGGCGGGGCTCAAAATTCCACTACAGATATTACTCGTAAGTTGATTAATACAAGGCTTAGTATAATGTTTTATTTAAATTACCACCATATAATAGTTTAAGGAAGAAGTATAGTTTTCTTAAAGCTAATGCAGCTTGTTTTTATTCTGCAGTCTTTCTGCAATATGTGTTTTTATGCATTCTCTTTAACTTCAGATCTTCCTTCACGAAGAAAATATTCTGAAGAACCAATCAAGATTTCTGTCTGTCCAAGTCCAAGCACCATCCCTGTCTTAACCCCAAGCAGAAAGAATGAAGCACATTATCACTCCATATGAACACACCAATGACACAGCAAGAAACAATTCAGATTGCCCTGATGTAGTTTTGCCAGAAGAGATATTTTTCACAATCTCCATCATTGGAGTTCTGGAGAACCTGATTGTCCTCCTGGCTGTGGTCAAGAATAAGAACCTCCAGTGCCCCATGTACTTTTTCATCTGCAGTTTGGCCATTTCTGACATGTTGGGCAGTCTGTACAAGATCTTGGAAAATATCCTCATCATGTTCAGAAACCGGGGTTACCTCCAGCCTCGTGGCAACTTTGAAAGCACAGCAGATGACATCATTGACTGCATGTTCATCCTCTCTTTGCTGGGCTCTATCTTCAGCCTGTCTGTGATTGCTGCTGACCGTTACATCACCATCTTCCACGCCCTGCAATACCACAGCATTGTGACCATGCGCCGCACCATCATCACCCTAACAGTTATCTGGATATTCTGCACAGGGAGTGGCATCGCCATGGTTATCTTCTCCCACCACGTCCCCACGGTGCTCACCTTCACGTCACTCTTCCCTTTGATGCTGGTTTTCATCCTATGTCTCTACATTCATATGTTCTTGCTTGCCCGCTCCCATGCTAGAAAGATCTCTACTCTTCCCAGAGCCAACATGAAAGGGGCCATCACACTGACTATCCTTCTTGGAGTCTTCATCTTCTGTTGGGCCCCCTTTATCCTCCATGTCCTCTTAATGACCTTCTGCCCAAATAACCCTTACTGTGTTTGCTACATGTCTCTCTTCCAGATCAATGGCATGTTGATCATGTGCAATGCAGTCATTGACCCCTTTATATATGCCTTTCGGAGCCCAGAGCTCAGGGATGCATTCAAAAAGATGTTTTCCTGCCACAGGTATCAGTAGACTTTTTGATCCCTGATTTAAATAATGTAAAGAGACCAAACGGCATGACAGTCTGACAAGTGATGATGCATCTTAGCAGCCTTTCTTTCTTTAATAGATGGAGACAATCAATTAAACTGACTAGTGTTTAGCATAGCTGGCTTTCTAATGAAGTATTACTGCAGCTGCAAACTTTATATTGTATCTAGAGAGATGAAATGGTAGGCTAAATAGGACAGTATACGAAGTACACATCAATACAAATGTGAGGATTTGGGGTTAAGCAAGTATTTGTTCTTCTGTGGGTACCTGGAAAACTGTCCTGGAAGGCCTTTCCAGGTCAGAAACCATGACAACCAATTCTCCAACTAATTAAATGTGTTGGTTAGATTCCTATTTCTGTGGCAAATGCATGCAATCGATCAACTTTGAAAGAGGAAAGATCTATTTGGGCTCATAGATTGAGATGGTTTTTGGTCCATGACACCTGGCTATTGGTTGGACCTATGATGATGCAGCATATCACAATGGAAGCATGTAGCAAAACAGCGTACAGCAGCCAGAAACCACAGTAAAGAAGCAAAGACGGGTCTCTGATAGTCTTCTTTGCTGGTAAAACCTCAATGAACTAAGATTTCCCACCTCTTAAAGGCCACCTTCTGGTAGCAGCACACCAAAGACCACGTCTTTAACACATGAGGATCATTTACCTAAACCACAATGGAGAATGACTCAGTGTAGAAACTATAGTGTTCTTGTAAGACAAAGATGTCACAGATAAATAATCTATCACCCATGTAGCCAGCCTTTGAATTTCCAAAAACAAACAAATCTTCACTATGAATATTCTTGGCTCACTCAGGATCCCACTTACTCTCAAAATCTCTTCCTGCTTCAATTTCCTCAAGCTTTAAAAACAAAAATTTCAAGAGTGAAGTCAAATTTTAACCTATTTGAGTCTAGTTCAGGAGTATGCAATGTCTGTTGTCTTAGAAGAAGTATGGCCAAACAGTGTGTCTGTCCAAATGTATGAGTAATGCCCCTGAAACTGTATTTCATAGGAAAAGAATGAAGAGAGGAAAGGACGTATAGAGGGGGAAAAAGGAGAGGGAAGGAGGAAGAGAGATAAGAGATAAGAGAGAGAAACAGAGTCAGAATCATGTTTTTGAGTATGGAAAAACCAAGACCAAAACATTTCAAGCATGCTGTTACTAGAGACCCAAGCCAAAGATATGATGAAAAAATTCTTTTTTCTTCATACGCAAGTCCTAAAGGTAGGCACATCAAATTACTGATAATTACATTCTGCATGCACTACTAGATGTCCAATATTAAAACACGGCATTCTAAATAGTAGTAAAAGAAACAAACTCTAAATTTTACCCATTAATATCATAGCTAAAGAAGAGGCTCAATAGGCAGTAGACTGCAACAGCAAGTCCTTGCTAAACTGGAAAGAGCTGTCAGTGATAAAAGGATTCAGGAGCTTCTCTAGCCTCCCAGGATTCACAGCATCTCCTGGAAGAGACAGCATCTCGCCTTCCGTCTCCAATTCCTATCATATAAGAACTTCTGAGGAAACCAAAGAAAAAGATGTATGATACAAAAAGTATGATTTATAAGGGCTAAAGATGTGCTGGAGACAGCAAAATAGAAGAAGCTCATACTTAAGAGAGGGGAAAGGTCTTACATGCTAAGCTGGAAAAGCGTGGGACATGGCCAACCAGAGACGCAGGCTTTCTCAAAGACTGACATGTTCAACACAACTAAGAACAGCTCTGTCCTGAATGGTTTAGGATGTATGCTAGTGTCACCTGGAAGGGAAAAACGTGGGAGTTATAACCAGGACAGCTGTTGTGTCTGCAGGGATGCCTCTGAGCTCAGCGGTGTTTCCCAAGGACCGATGTGAGAAGACACCACAAACAGGACACAGAGCTTAGACATGGAGGAACGGGGCCTTGAAAGGCAGAGGAAATGTCTGAGATTTAAGGGAGGGAGTTAGGGGTGTGAGTCTGCACAGCTGTGCCACAGGTTGTAAGGAAACCCACACATGTCCTCTTTCATTCTGTGGAAATCTTCAGTTTTTTTGTCCTACCTTTCCAAATGGATTGCAAATTCTTCTATTGTATATGACACTGTGTATGCTTAACTTTTAAAATGTTATTTCTGCCCTTGAAAGACTAACGGAGCACATATGCTTCTGTATTAAGCCAGGTGTTCTCAATAAAACATAACTTTTTCTCTGGTGCTGCAATTTATTCTTTATTGCCAATGGTCCCAATTCACCCTGCTTGAAGAGTCCTGCTTTCCCTAAGAGAGCTTGCCACCCCCTCATGGCCTCTTGAGAACTCATCTGTCATGAGACTAGGAAATTAAGCAAAAAGTCAAATAGGAAAGTGCATAAAATTAAAATACAGCTCAAACGATAATTCAGAGGCACTTTTACCTCAGGGTCCTTAGCTATATTCAAACCAGAGGCAGGATTATAGAGCTCTAAACTCATGAAGGAAACATAAAGAAGATAAGGAGGCCCAGCATTTCCCCTTGGTAACTACTTCAGGGCTATTATCAAACTATTCAAAATGTTAACTGTTCTGTGGATACCACAAACATTTGTTCAGTTGTGCTGACTCTGCCTGGGACCCTGACTGCCATACAACCCTCGATGAAGGGAAGAAGGGATTTGTGGGTGAGACTGTCTCTTTGTGTTTGCACACCAGCGTGGGATTATTGCACCAGCTTCTAGAGAAAAAATGTACAGGGAGAGTAAGCTCAACCCCTCCTCCTTTTATTTAGGTTTTTGTTTGTTCTGAGCTTCCTTTTGTTTTGTTTTTACTAACCTGGGGCACATTTTCACATAAGTCTATAATGTTCTTTGAGCAAATTCCCCATTCTTCTCTACCCTCTCCCTTCTCACTCCCCCTCATCCTGTAAGTTTTCTTCATTTGCCTAGATGGTTCTTCTATGCTCATGCCATGAGTCCACACATGATTTTATGTACCAATATAAAATCTAGGACCCACAGATAAGAGAAAACATGGCATTTGTCTTTGTAAGGCTGACTTAATTCCCTTATTATGATAATTTCCTTGCCCTCATTTCTACTACAAATGACATAATTTCATTCCTCTTTATGGCTGAAAATAATTCCATTTTGTATATGTGCCCCATTTTCCTTTCTTAATTTATCCATTGATAGTTTCATACATGTTTATAATACATTCTTGTCACACTCATCCTAACCCTTCTCTTATCTTCCTTCCATATCCCCCAACACCCTCCCAAAACCCCACCCCACTTCCACGTCCTTCTGCTTTGCTGTTGTTCTTGCTTTGTAGCCTTACTGGGTTTAACCAGGGCCACCCATGTGGGCAAGGTGTGAGGCTATCCCCTGGAAACTAAGTAACAAGTGACTGTATCACTAAAGATGATGGCTTCTTCCTCAACAGATGGACTGACATTAGCTCCAGCAGGTGGGGCAGGACCCTTCGAGCCACTACTCCCTCTATAACTGACTGTTACAGGCTCAACCTTGTATGCACCTTTTGCAGGCAACCTCAGCTGAATTGAGTTCAAGAGTATCATGGCAGTGTCATGCGCACAGGACAATTTGTCATGGCCCGCCTCTCCATCATCTGGATTTTACACCCTTTGTCTTCTATTCTCTTTTTATATATTCCCGAGCATTGATGGGGTGGGGATGGAATACTGGTGTTCCACTTCAGGTGATAGGTATTTGCAAGTAGAGCCCTTATTCTCCCTGTCCTTTTCTCTGGCTGGAGTCTATGATACAGTAACAAAAGGAAACAAAGATTTCTTCATGTTTTTCCTAATTTTAGGAATAAAAACACTTAATTTTTTTAATATGGTGCTTATATTTTTTTTGCTTGTGGTGGTTGGCTGATTGGTGTGTGAACAGTTGAAAGATTCTGACTGCAACTGTTCTTCAAAGAGAGCTGAAAACCTCCTGAATTGTGCCACCAGACTATGTTACTCATTAGGATGCAAGCTAAGGAGCACTTACTTTCTGTTTGCAACTGAAGGGTACTGGCCAGACTGTCTTTGGTAGAACCCAACAGAAGTATTAAAAAGGAGAGAGAACTCAAGAAACAAGTCTCCAAAACACCAAAGGATCCAATTAAAAGGTGGGGTACAGAACTAAATAGAGAATTCTCAATAGAGGAGACTAAAATGGCCAAGAGACACTTAAGAAAGTGCTCAACATCCTTAGCCATCAGGGAAATGCAAATCAAAACAACTCTGAGATACCATCTAACTCCTGTCAGAGTGGCTAAAATCAAAAACACCAACGACAATTTATGCTGGAGAGGATGTGGAGAGAGGGGAACACTCCTCCACTGCTGGTGGGAGTGCCAACTCGTACAGCCTCTTTGGAAATCAGTATGGAGATTCCTCAGGAAAATGGGAATTAATCCACCACAAGACCCAGCAATTCCACTCTTAGGCATATATCCAAATGAAGCAAATTCATACAACAAAGGCATCTGCTCCACTATGTTTATAGCAGCATTATTTGTAATAGCCAGAACCTGGAAGCAACCTAGATGTCCCTCAACTGAAGAGTGGATAGAGAAAATGTGGTACATTTACACAATGGAGTACTACTCAGCAGAAAAAAACAATGGAATCTTGAAATTCGCAGGTAAATGTATAGCACTGGAAGAAACCATCCTGAGTGAGGTAACCCAGTCGCAAAAAGACAAACATGGTATGTACTCACTCATATATGGATTTTAGACATGGATCAGGATAGTGCCAGTCTGCACTTCCACTGATAGAGAGTCTGGGAAACAGGAAAGAACCTAAAAGATATGCATATATGCATAGTACCCAAGAGAGGAGGATTGAGACAAGATCCTCTGAATGGATGGGGAACACGGCGAGGGGTGGGGGGGAGTGGGAGCTGGGAAGAAGAGAGTGGGAAAAGAGGAAGAGAGAGTAGATCAGATCATGGGGGAACAGGAAGGTTGAGTGGGTAGGGGTAGAATAGGGGGAAGAGGGAATCATAGGTTAGAAGACAGATCAGGCACCACAGTGACCTCGAGTGATCTAAAGGGATAACACCAATTGGCAAGCTAAGCAATAGTGGAGAGACCACCTCGAATGCCCATTCCTGATAATGAACTTGATGTCTATAACCATCCGGGAGCCTTCATCCTGTGACTGATGGAAGCAGAGGCAAACACACAATTAATCACTGAACTGAACCCAAGGAACCCAGTGACAGAGAGAGGAGTGATGAGCAAATTGGCAAAGAATGGGCTGGCAAAACCAGCAGAGACAGCTGATTTGAACAGGGGAGAGCTCTTGGACCCCAGACCGACAGCGGGGAGGCCAGCATGGGACTGATCTGGACTCCCCAAATGTGAGTGTCAGCGAGAAGGCCTGGGCAACCTATGGGGCCCTGAGCTGTGGATCAGTGTTTATCCCTGGAAAACAAACAGTCATCGTGTGCCCATAGCACAAAGAGGGATGCTCTCTCAGCCTGGACTCTTAGGGGGAGTGCCTGGACCCTACCCAGAGTGAAATGACAGACTCTAGATATCCCTATGTGGAAGGATTTGGCAATAGGGTGGGAGGCTGGGGGGGGAAGGGGAGTGCGGGAGGAGGAGAGGGAGAGGGAACTGGGATTGACATGTAAAACAAGCTATTTAAAATTAAAATAAAAAATGTTAAAAAAAAAAAAAAGGAGAATGGTCCACAATGGCCTGTCAGGATCCACTTTGCCTTCCTTCTGGGAGGCCCATCTGACAGCTGGAGAGGTCCTTTGCCCTCATAGGATGCCCTCTGGGTGAACATTGCTCTTCCAGTAGGAACCACAAAATGGTCCCATATCTCTATTCCCTTCAACTCAGCTGTGAGGTGTATTTTCAAAACTTGATCTAAATTGATCTGTAGACTGAAAAAGAAATAAAAGAAACTTTTGGTAATAAAATTTGGCTCTTATGGCCACTGTCATGACAGCAATACTGGCACGTTGAGCTTTAACTGCATCCACTAATTAGATAACCTCTATAGTCATGTAGGAACAGACTCTGAGATCTCTTGTATCCAAGCCTTGACAGACTTGTTGAAGGCCTGAATCTCTGAGGAAGATGTCCTGTGTACCTTCTACATTCTTTTACACCGGCTCATCCTCCCCACATTCAGCCACAGATGAGGCCATTGATGACTCTTCTTTTGTCCATACTAAAGCCCATTCTCAACCTCCAGCCTCTCTGCCATTCGCCATCCTTTACCTGGCAATTCTGATCCCAGCTACCTCTTTATCTTTCCCTTCTCTCCTCATTCCTTCCAACCTGCAGATCTCTCTCCAACTACCCCCTCTATCCAGACAAACTTCCCCTCACTAACTCTGGAACTCCATATAGGGAACTCAGGAAACAAAAGCCTCTCTGCCTCAGAGAATATCTATGGGATCCTCATCTGGGTATCTGTCCCCTTCCCCATGTTGGAACTGTAACCCATACAATTCAATCTAGAGTCATTTATCCAGAATCTCTCTTTGATAAAGACTTCAAAAGGCTTCTGATCTAACCTGGTAAGACATATGTATCATCCTAATGCCTGCAAATGCATGAAGAAGAGTCCCACTTTAGTGTGTACCTAGGTAGATGACACTCATGATTGTCACCCATTTACAGTCAGGTGAGGCAGTATTGCTGCACAGAAAATGGAGCCCTGCTGTGCATATATGACCACAAATGCTGGAAATTATGGAAGAAGGACTTACTGAGACTATATGACCACCGGTCTGTTAGAATGAATGAAAGGTCCTTTGTCAAACACATTACCTATAGCAAGTTATGAAAGATAACCTGGGGAGCTTCTGTAGGCTACCTAAAACCTGCAGAAGAATATTAACCTGAACACCAAGAGTCGGGAATGCCAAGCAATTCTGGCTGTGCAACTTATTAGTCAAGTCTCTATAGATGTTAGTTAGATGAAAGCTTGAAAACCAGGAACATGACTCCTTTCCCTATCTAATTAGACACAGATTTAAGATCTGTAGCAACCAGATGGAGACCTCAATGGCTAGAAAGGATGAACTGGGTAGGGGGAAGATAAATTAAGAGTTTAGTGTATGACTACAGCAATTGCCTGTTCTCAGCTCAAGGCAAAAAAGATGAGCGCCTCATCCAGCAACCACCCCCTTGATTCCACAGCAATTTATCAAGCTCCTGTGCAAAGCATCCTTCCTATCATCACTGTGGTTAGCAAGGACATTTGAACTGAGAATAGCAATAGGCTACGCTTTTCCCTGGAAGCTATATCTAAAGATCCATTCAACAATAGTGGAATCAGATATCCATACCAAGAAGTAATCTTGTGTTGATATTTAGACGTGAGATTGTTGGGGTCAAAGGTTTTGTGACTCAGTTGTTAAGGCCCACTGGAGGTGGGAATATCCCTCCCTCCCTGTTGATGGAAGGAGTTCTCAACCCAAGAACCTCAACCTTAGATCAAACCTAACATTGCTTCTGGACTCTGAGGAGTCATCAAGGAAAGAAGTACCTCCCTGTTGAGGATGGTGTTAGTCAGTTTTTTTTGTCAACATGACACAGGCTAGAGTCATCTGAAAAGTGGAAGCCTTGGTAGATAAAATGCCTCCATAAGATTGTCCTCTAAGCAAGCCTTTGGGTATTTTCTTGATTAATGATTAGCATAGCCTATTGTGGATGGGACCACCCCTTGGTTGGTTGTCCTGGGGTGTATAAGAAAGCAGGCTGGGAAAGCCATGGAGAGCAAGTCAGTAAGCAAAGCCTTTTTGTGGCTTCTGCGTTGGTTCTTGCCTCCAGGTTTCTGGCCTACTTGGACCCCTATCCTGACTTCCAATGGTAAAGTATTCACCTCTATGGATAGTAACAAATAACTCTAGATATGGCAGAGACCAGGATTATATTCTTTGTTTGACACAAGAGTTACTTTTTCTGTACTGAGTACATTGTCCAATCTGGCCCCCAGTTCCTAGACAACCATTCCGAGAGCAGCCTCTAATCAGAATGTCTTCACTCCTTTTAAATGGTATCAACAGAACTCCTAATTCACTAGTATTCTCACTTCTTCCAACAATCTCATGTTTAAATATCAACACAAGGTTGCTTTCCTCACAGCTCCTCATTCTTGCAGACATCAGCTTCTGAAGTTCTGTTATTCCTAGTTGAGTTGATACTATTTCTGGAACTCTATCAATACAAACACAAACTTGCCCCAAGACTAAACTCTAAGCAGTGTTCAGCTTGTCTATAATCTGACAACTTGTGGTTAACAGCAAATATCTAAAAACCCATTCAACAATAGTGGAATCAGATACCCATACCAAGAAACAATCTTGTGTTGATATTTAGACATAAGATTGTTGGGGTCAAAGGTTTTGTGACTGAGTTGTTATCACAGTCTTCCTGGCTGTTATCCCAGGAAGTCTTGTATGGTCACAGGAAATGTCTAGTTCAAGATACATATCCAATATTGCTAGGAGTCTTAGCTGGGGTTGTCCTTGTAGATTCCTGGGAGCTTTCCTTGCACTAGGTTTCTATCTGACCCCAAAATGTAGTCTATCTGACCCCAAAATCTCTTTCAGTGCTCTTCCCCTCCATCCACCCCAACCCAACCCCTCATGTTCCCATCCCCACCCACCCCCAGTCCATCCACGGGATCTCTTCTATTTTCCCCTCCCAGAGAGATCCTTGTTTCCTTCCTTGGGCCCTTCTTGCTACTTAGCTTCACTGGATCTGTGGGCTGTAACATGGTTCTCCTTTACTTTACAGTTAAAATCTAATTATGAGTGAGTACATTCTATGTTTGTCTTTCTGGGTCCAGGTTACTTCACTCAAGATGATTTTTTTTCTGGTTCCATCCATTTGCCTTCAAATTTCCTAATGTCACTGTTTTTAACAGCTGAGTAATATTTCATTATGTAAATATGCCACATTTTCTTTACCTATTCTTTGATTGAGGGGCATGTAGGTTGTTTCCAGGTTCCAGCTATTATTAATAAAGCTGCTGTGAACATAATTAATCAAATGTCCTTGTGATATGATTAAGCATCCTTTGGGTATATGCCCAAGAGTAGCAGAGATGGGTCTTGTGGTAGGTCAATTCCCAATTTTCTGAGGAAACCACCATATTGATTTCCAAAGTGGCTGTGAAAATTTGCACTCCCACCAGCAATGAAGAGTTGTTCCTCTTGCTCCGCATCCTCTCCGCTATGAGCCATCACTTGTGGTTTTTTTTTTTATCTTAGCCATTCTGACAAGTATAAAATGGAATCCCAGTGTCATTTTAATTTGCATTTTCCTAATGGCTAGGATGTTGAACATTTTTATTAGTGTTTCTTGGCCATTTAAAATGCTTCTGCAGAGAATTCTGTTTAAACCTGTACTCCATATTTTAGTTGGATTATTTGGTCTTTTTATGGCTAGTTTCTTGAGTTCTTTATATATTTATTTATATATATATCAGCCCTTTGTCAGACATGGAGATGGTAAATATCTCTTCCAATTCTGTAAGCTGCTGTTTTATCCTACTGACAGTGTTCTTTGCCTTAGAATATTAGTTAAAGATGTGTTATATTTGTTTATGCTGTGGAACGTTTGTGTAATGATGAAAAGATGTGTTGCATTCTTTTATGTTTCATTTGTTTAACTCTGTAAAGCTGTGTTACTCTGTCTGTCTAAAACATCTGATTGAGCTATTAAAAATTTGAACAGCCAATACCAAGGCAGGAGAAAAGATAGGCGGGGCTGGCAGGCAGAGAGAATAAATACAAGGAGAAATCTGGAAGGAGAGGAGCAAGGATGGAGAAAAGGAGAGGAGGATGCTGGGTGCCAACCACCCAGTCACACAGTCTGACACAGAATAAGAAGGAAAGAAAAGAAAGAAAAGATATACAGAAATAGAGAAAGGTAAAAGCCTAGAGGCAAAAGATAGATGATAGGGAATATCCTTCTGTGTGCTATAAACATATGCTTTTCTTTGGTTGATGAATAAAGCTGTTTTGGCCAACAGACTGGCAGGATGTAGCCAGACAGTAAGTATAGGCAGAGCTATCAGACTAGGAGACTTCTGCGAAGAGGAACATGGAGAGTGAGTTGTTCATGTAGCTACCAAAGAAGAAAGAGACCTAGCCATTACAGGTAAGCCAAGACCACGTGGAGATACACAGATTACTAGAAATGGATTAATAATTAAGAGAGAGCCAATAAGAAGCCTGAGCCATTGGCCAAAATATAAGCATCTGTGTGCTTATCTGGGACTGAACACTGCAGGGACCAGGCAGGACAGAAACTTCTGTCCACAGATAAACAGGAAAATTTAAGTTAAGAAAAGCTGGCAAGAAACAAGCCAAGCTAAGGCTGGGCATTTATAAGTATGAATAAGCCTCTGTTTGATTTATTTGGGACCTGGGTAGCGGGCTCCCAAAGAGCCAAGGAGTGAAAACAACCAACTACACCTTACAGAAGCTTTTCAGTTTCACGAGGTCCCATGTATTATTAATTATTGATCCTAGTGTCTACGCTATTGTTGTCCTATTCAGGAAGTTGTCTCCTGTGCCAATGCATTTGAGGTTATTTCCCACCTTCTCTCTGTATTGATTTTTAATTGGCATGTATATTTTCTAAGAGAGAAGGGAGGCATGAAGTTGTTTGAGGGAAGGGAAACTATGATCAGAATATACTGTATGAAAAATTATTTTCTGTCTACAAAAGGAAAGGGAACCATGCATTTCTCTACCATTGCACTTACCATCAGCATTTTACAGTCTAGAAAAAGCTCAGAAGGCAAAGCTAATGGCAACTTGTTGTAAAGATTCCAATATCTGGTTATCATTAGATGTACTTTCCTTAATATATGCTTGGAAAAAATAGATCATGCTTCTGTACAGATCTGTGAATCAACACTTCTTATGTTTACTTGAAGGTATCACAGTAGGAACAATTTGTTAATAAGGACCATCTGTCAAACAATGTGCTAAGTAAGTACTCCCATTATTTTATTGAGATCAAGCACATTAGTATTTACCCATTTCCAGGGGGAAAATGAGGCTAAGAGAAGTTCAGTCATACACCAAAGATTACAGGGATTAGTAAGCAGCAGTATCTGGTGATGAATGTAGTGAAAAGAAATCAACCAAAAGCTTGTATCTCCCCCAAAATAATGAAAATCTCAATATTGCTTATTTAATGGTATAATTTTATCCAGCATTAGAGTACATGGTATATTTTAAATATATCTTCAAAATCCTCTTCTACACATTTACAGTAAGTTGGAAAAAGCCAAAGCCAAATATGAAACTCAGTTAGTTAAATTATTAAATAACACTAAAGAGCCGTAACTCTGAAGCTCTTTGACACCATGAGCAGCGGCATTGCCTGTCAATCTCAGTTCTGTAAATCCATAGTATCTTTTCAAGCACAGATTGTGGAAGCTGCTGCATTCCTGTTGACAGTGCCTTGCCACACTGCAGCTAATAGATTCCGTGAGAAACCCTACCATATGGTTGATACACTGAAACCATTTACCTTGAAAGTATACCTTGTGAAGCATTTGACAGCCTGCTTATAAATTAACAATATATTCTTAAAATTCCTAGCAACCCTAAGATTCACACACATAAATGTTTGCATGTGATGCCTAGAGTTTCATACTCACTAAATGTGGAAAAGAACTAAATCTTATCAGATTATGATAATGAAACCAGCATTGTTTTATTTTTATAACTATAGCACTTGCTTGCTCATCTACAAGGAGACATTCAGGAAAGGGTGAACAGCCCTGCAGACTGTAGTGAGAGATCCTGTGGTTGCCGCTTCAGAAGAATTTAGGTAATGTGTTCTTTATAGAAGCAGTGGCAATTTTACCTTCTGTATTTTATTCTTGCATTTAAGTCTTCTGAGGATTTTTTGTTTCATTTTTCCTGTAACAAATGGTCCAGAAGTAACATTTCTGGGCCTGGAGAGATGGTTCAGCATTTATGAGTACTGGTTGCCCTTCTAGAGGACCAGGGTTTGATTCCCAGCACCCACTTGAAAGTTCACTTGTAAATTCATCCCTCTCCCAATTGAATCTCTTCCTCTAGCCTCCAGGGGCACTTCCTACATGTGGCACACAGGAATAGATGCAGATAAAACATCTATACACATAAAATAAATAAAATAAATACATTTTGGAAAAAAAAGAAACAGCATCCCTGTTTAGAGAGAAAAACAACGAGCCTAGACAGAGTGGTCAGTAGGATTTAATCACTCATGTGAAATCTTCACATTCAGATATATTTTTCAAGTATGTTACATAATATATAACATTTTGTAGGCTCGTTGCTTACTATCATTTTAAACTAAACATGGTTTTGGTGGAGTGAGGTTTGTATATTGGCTCATAGGCATGATAGAGTTTTTAGATTAAGTGTGGAATAAAAACTGAGATTCATTTTCCATAAAAAGATGACTGGGTGAGAATGAATATCTGCATGCATCTCTTAACAGGAATATAGTAAAGAAGAAGCAATAAGCTGGACAAGCTCATGCATGTCTGTAATCTAAGTACTTGGGAGGCTGAGGCAGCAAAACCACTCAGTATGAAGTCAGCCTGGGTTACATAGTGATTTCAAGGCCAGCCTGGGTTACTCAACCAAATACTGTCTCAACAAAATTAAGTTAAAGATTAAACCATAAAATTATTATAACCCGAGACATGCGCCAAAATGAAATGAAGCAAAGCAAAACAAAAGCTTTGTGTATAGCTTGGAACCATCCAAGAAAGAAACTACAATGTTCCACAGTTGCAGAGCTGGATGGTGTGGTCCAAAAGCTTTGGATCCCAAAGATTCCATCACAAAATCTGAGATATCCAATATGAAGCCACAGGATTTGGTGTTTTCCCTTTTAGGTTTCAGTTTCCTGTTGGTCTAATATTTGATTGCCATGCTCCAGTTATTCCCTTTAATATCAGAACTGTTTATGCTGTGTCATTTTATACTGGAAACATGTAACTTGCTTGGGGTAATAGAGGCTCACAGTTGGGAGAATGCCTGACTCTCAGAAGAGACTGGACATGTGTTTTGAATGGCCTTGGATCTGTTAAAGACTGTGGCTCTTTTGAACCTGGTCTAAATGAATTATGCATTTTAAGATGGCCATGAGCCTATGAGGATGAGCAGTAGAAGATTATGTCTTAACGGTGTCATGTTGACAAGGGATGGACTTGTGATGATTAATATTATCAACAGGACAAGATCTAAAATCACCTAAGAGATGAACTTCTGGGCATCTTTGTAATGGGTGGCACTGTTCCTTGGGCTAAGGTCCTGGACTTACTAAAGAGGAGAAAAGAGAGCACTCGCTCTGCTTCTTTACTGTGGATTTAATGTGACCAGCTACCTCCCATTTCCATGGCCATACCTTCCCCACCAGGATGGACTGTGCCCTCAAACTGTGAGACAAAACAACCCTTTCTTCTTTACATTGTTTTGTTGAGTATTTTATCACAGAAGGAATCTGTATACCTGGTCAGCCCACCCAAGCTTGGGCCTCAAAGTTCTTTTCCAGTTCAACAAGACTCCCTTCCTTTAATCTGGCTTTCTCATTTAATTTCCATGTATATTAATCATATAATAAAGATGGCCTACAACTTTTAACATTTTAGGAAGAATATGAATTAACTAACTATTGGCGATGCAATTTTTCATTGGAATCAATGTTTTCTATTTCATTTATTGCAAACCCTAATATTGAGATAACTTTTAAAAGTTGCCAAAGCCCCCTTTCTCCTACTGGTGTGCCTTGTTCTGCCTTGATGTGATATGCCTTGTCTTATTGTAGCTTGTTATGCCATGTTTAGTTGATGTCCCAGGGTGGCCTGCTCTTTTCTAAGGGGAGATGGAGGGGGGTGTGGATCTGGGGGGGAAAGGGAGGGAAGGGGAAAGACTGGAGGGAGGGGAAACTGTGGTCTGGATGTAATGTGTGAGAGAAGAATAAAAATAAAAGAAAAAAACTGTTCAATGTCATCAGTTTCCAGGGAAATGAAAACTTAAACTACTCAGAGATCCTACTTTACCCCAGCCAGAAAGGTTGCCATCAAAAATCAAATGACAACAAAAGCTTGAGGTGATGTGGGGGAAGGGAATACTTATCTACTATTGGTGGACATATAAATTGGTTTAGTCACTGTCTCAGATAGGGTTTCTATTGCTCTAATAAAAGAAAGACCATCAACAACTACAACAAAATGTCGCCTAAGACTCGCTCTTGCTGCTGCTCGAACTCTACTCTCCTTCCTGCCTTTACATTTCTATTTTCCCCTCCCCAGAGAAGATCATAAAGACAAGGTGTAAAATGGAACAGAGGAAAATCAAGAAGCTACATACCTGGCTCATAGATCACAGAGAAATAACTATTAATTCATCTGCTTAACTTGGGCTGTCTGGTCTTAAATCAAGGATCTGTCCATAATGCCTTGAGAAATTTGTTCCAAGTTCCTTAACCAAACAGCTGCAGGCACCAGGCAATAGCTGGCAAGCAAAAGATTTAGCCCTATGTACCAAACAGAGAAAACTGACACCCCAAACCGGCTGTGAGTTAGACTCCTATGAATGTTGTAAAAAAATTCCTGCTAAAAGAAAAACAGGTGACTTAGACCAAAAAGAATTAACTTCAGATGTGCACATCCTGATGCAAAAATAAAAACAACCTTAAAATCAAAATAACAAGTATATTCCAAAAAAAAAAACAAATTCCATAGTAATGGCCCCTAACAAAATGACCTAAAAGAACATTCACAAAAATAACTCTAAAGAATGGTTATAACTATGATCAAACATCTTGAGGAGGACTGAGAAGAATAAAATAAGGAAATCAATCAAAGGAATAAAAAATTTGAATTTCTAAAGAAATTGATAAACATGGAAAACTCAATAAGTCAATTAAACCCTTAGTGGAAAACCTCATAGAAAGAATGGGTCATGTTGAAAAATAGAGTCAGGGAAGGAAGACCAAAAAATCACACACACACACACACACACACACACACACACACACACACACACACACACAAAGACAAAAAAATCCAACAAACAAAAAAGACATAAAACAGAATTACATCAGAAAAAGAAAAAGAATGGAACATCTGAGAGAGTTTTAGGACAAAATAAGATCTAACCTTAGAATTACAGGCACAAAAAGAAGAATGCCACAACATAGGTCATATCTTCAGTTAAATAACAGAAGAAAATCTCCCAAAGCTAGAGAAAGAGATCTCCACCCATGTACAAAGGCCTGTAGAACACCAAATAGATAGTGCCATAAAATAAATTCTCCCCAGTATATTATAGTTAAAACATTAAAAGTACAGAATAAGGAAAAGTATTGAAAGCATCAAGAGAGGAGAGTCAAGTCATTTCATAAGACAGTCATCTAGAACAATGTCTAATTGTGTGACAGAAACCATGGAAACAGGAAAGCCTTCCCATAAAGATGTACTCCAGGTTCTGGATGCATTCTACTGTCAACCCATTCTATTATACCCAGCAAAACTTTCGAAATTGGAGGAGAAATAAAAACTTTCCATTGTAAAAAAAAAGATTAAATGAATTCATCACTACTAATCCAACTCTGCAGAGGATACTAGAAGAAATACTTCAGTATCAAGTGAATGATAAACACGTCCAAGAGGTTACAGGGAACAAACCAACAATGTCAGAACAGGTATTCAAAAGTATCCTGAGAAAAAAAATAGACCAACAAAATGGTGAGAATTAATATAAATCTCTCAATGCTAACTATAAATATCAATGATTTCAGTTCTCCATTAAAGAGACATGAACTAGCAGACAGGATCAGAAAATAGAATCCATGTTTTTGCTGTCTCCCAGAAACATACTTCATTATCAATGATAGATACCAACCACCTTGGGGTAAAAGGACAAAAAAAGATACTCCAAAAAAACAGAACTAAGATACAAGCAGGCATTGGTATTATAATTTCTGACAAAATAGACTTAAAATAGAGACTAGTCAAGGGAGACAATGAGAAACATTTCACACTCATTAAAGAAAAAATAATCTATCAATTAGATACTACAATGACCAAACACAGGGCACCATATTTCACAAAAGAAATACTACTAGATCTAAAGTCACAGATTAAGCATGATACAGTGATAGTGGAGTGACTTCAGTACCCATTCTCACCAATAGACAGGCCATCTGAAAAAAAATAAAACTAAATAGAAAAATGATTGCATTAAATGACATCATGAACCAAATGGACCTAGTAGATATCTATAGAACATTCCACCCAAACACTGAAGAATACATGTTCTTCTCAATAACCCATTGAACACTCTCCAAAACTGACCACATATTAGGAAAGTCTCAACAAGTATAAGAAAATTGAAATAATACCCTGAATTCTTTCTAACCTCAGTGGACTAAACCTACATACCAACAACAGTAGAAACTATTGAAAGTATACAAACTCATGGAAACTAAACAACACATTACTGAATGATAATTTTGTCAATAAAGAAATCAAGAAGGAAATTTAAAAGTCTTAGAATTGAAAGAAAAAAATGTATGAGAAACAATGAAGGCAATTTTTAAGTCTCTATTACTAAGTGCCCATAAAAAATTGAGCAATCTCAAATTAATAACTTAGTGATATACTTGAAGAGCTTAAAATAAGGATAATAAGGATATAACACCCAAAAAGTAGATTGTAAGAGTTAATTCAAATGAGGGCTAAAATTAATGAAATAAAAACAAAAATTCAAAGAATACTGAAACAAAGAATGTGTTTTTAGAAAAAGATTAACAAAACTAATGAACCTTTAGCCAAATTAACCAAAAGAAAGAGAAACATGATCCAAATTAATAAAATTAAAGATGAATACAAGGACATTACAACAGACCAGGAGAATTCAGAGTCATAGTCACATAATTTAAGATCTACATACCATCAAATTAGAACTTATGAATGTATGTAACCTGCCAGCTAAATCAAGTTGAAATAATTTAAATATACCCATAACATGCAAAGAGATATTATTTAAAAGTCTCCCAACTAACAAAAGCCAAGTACCAGATAGGTTCAGCCCAAAAATTTACCAGACCTTCCAAGAAGAAGAAACACCAATACTGTTCAAATTATCTCATAAAATAGAAAAAGGAAAAACACTTCCAAAATCGTTTACAAAGCCAGTATTACCTTGATGACAAAACTAGACAAAGACCCAAGAGAAATAGAAAACTGTAGGTCAAGCCTTTTGCTGAACATGGATACAAAAAATAATTCTCAATAAACCATTTGCAAAATAAATCCAAGAGTACATCAAAAAGATTATCTGTTATGATCAACTAGTCTTGAGATGCAGTGATGATTAAACATATATAAATCTGTAATGTGATCTACCTCATAAACAAACTAAAAACAGAAACACATGATCATCTCATTAGATGAAGAAAAAAGCCTTTTACAAAATCCAATAATCCTTTGTGATGAAAGTCCTAGCAAGACAAGGGATACAAGGGACATTCCACCACATAATAAAGGTGATTTACAGCAAGACCTCAGTCAACATCAACCTAAGCAGAGAGAAATTGAAAGCACTTCCACTAAAATCATGAGCAGATAAGAATGTCTATCACTATTTCCATATCTATTCAACATACTACTTGAAATTTTATTTAGAGAAATAAAACAACTAA